TCTCCTCACGGCGGCCCTGGGACGGGAAACCGCCTTGAGTCACAAGCGGAAAGCGGCGGGTTTCCCCCCACCCTTGTCCTCAAAGAGGAGTTAATTTATCCACAGCTAGAGACCCTAAGTGTTTTTTTTTCCCCTTTTATTCCAAGATAGAAAGCACGCAGTGGGGTAGCTCTGTTGTTACAATGACTTCAGGACGTTTAGCTCAGTTCCAAATGAACTGCTATTATTTTTAAACCCTCACCGAACGTACCAGAAAAACCCAATCTCTAGCCTTAGTTATGCTTAAGAATTCAACATACTGCGAGTATTTCCGTGTTTGTAAGATGCAGCAGAACGCTGAATCGCAGCTGTAAGGGTTACTAGCATGTTGCGTCCGCTCTGCCAGGGGCACGGACAGAACACACGGATTTTTCCTCTATGCTAAAGAATGTGGTAGTACGCGTTAACGTGGCTGACTTCAGTGCGAAGTGGACTGGAAGGGACGCTGTGCGCGCTGCAGCCATAGAGGGCAAGATGATCTGGAGGGATACCACAGAGCTCCAGCTCTAGAGCTGAGCTTGGGCGACGGGCCGGCGCGCACGTACGCGGCCTTCCCCGGACAAGGCTTTGAAACGGACCTCGCAAGGAGTGAGATGTTACAGAGGTCTCACCTCATCCTACGGCTAAAGAAATCCCTGAACTGCCCGAAGCAACCTGAAAAAATACACGTTTTCTTATGATAACCAAAAGATTGACATCAGACTTGAGTTTATTTTTCTCAGTTGCAGAGGAGTTACGAGAGCCTAAGGAACTGGGGTTTATGAGAAAAATAAAGACTCTAGTTCACTAGATCAATACCTCAATGCAGAGCATACATCTGGCCTTTTCTCAGTTCTTGGCAATGTTTTTAACAACGTTTATAGATCTGGTACACAAACTCCGTCACCAAGAAGGCGAAGGTGAAACAAAGCAAACGTGCGTGTAGCTAAGCAATGTAGATGTACCAGTCTCGTCATGCTTGATCAGACAGTGGGAGTGGCATCCTTAACTCTTTCTTCTTCCCCCAAAAAACGTGGGGGTTTTTTTGGTAAGAAAAAAGTATATTGAGACTTGTTCAAGCAGGTTTAAATTTGCTACTCCTTATGGAGAAACGATGTCACATTTTCTGCTTTTGAAAGGGGCATTTCTCCAGGTAAACAGCAGACAAGGTAGTAGCAGAACTGGAATTTGGGACCATCAAAATAGCACTTTGAGATTCGTAATCCAGATTTTCCGTACATTACAAAGAATGACCTTCCTGGAGACTGCCAGATAACTGAAGATTGCACTTGTAAAACTAATTTATCAGAGAAGTTACACAGTAAGGATTCTAAAACACGGCAATTAAACTATTAGAATATTTCCTAACTGAAAACTTGAAAGATAAGGGGAAATGTGATCATCAAGATCAAGTAGACATGGCTGAAGGAGACATCTCTGCAAAACGCACATACCTCTGAGATATGCAAACACTTGTTTCTGCAGTTCAGGACACTGTAATCAAAACCAAGACCAGGGGCTCAGATGCCAATCTAACATTTGAAACCAAGTAGTCTCATCTATTTTCCAAGGCTTCAGACCCATCTGCACAGGACACAATTTTGTTACCCTTCTCTCACAGAAACGGTCCCCTTGAAACTACAAAAGAATAGCTCTGTTATAGAATAGGACTCATTTTAAAAAGTGATATAACATTAAGAACAGCAGGAGGAGTTGTGCAAAATTGTTGCAGATGCTCAGTTCAGTATATCACATTCCTCATGCTACAGTTGAAGTAAATTAGCTAGCAAGTATGTGCATGCCATTAACAAGTGCTTCCTTAAAATTGCTTAGCATTATTCAAAAACCCACAGTTACAGCTCAACTGCTAAATAATTCAAACTTTTAAAGATATGTCAATACATGTGTGCAAAGTAAACCACAAGCAAATCCAAAGAATTCCGAACGGTTGGCAAGCCACCTCCATCTTTGGACCGTAAGATGATAAGCTATTGATATGGGGCCGGAGAGGACTAGGAAGTTTGCAAGGTATTCCAGAGCTGGGACACGTAAATTATTAAGCAGCACAGAAACCCAGAGGATCAAGTTCAACCCAAAAGGAATCTGAAATCTGTCCTTAAAGTACCTTGGAGCCAATGGCCTTTTGTAATCCACAGGGTTAGAAAATAATGAGCCATGCAACCTGCAGGTTCAGAGCAGACCTGTATGGGCAATTGGAAATGTCTATCCATAAACTTGTTCCAACAGAAAAGGCTGAAATGATCTTGCATGGGTAAGAGTGGGGCTCTCTGTAGACCCAGCTACTGAATTCTGCAAATAAGTGAACTCAGGTGTGCAGACATATCTAAACACACGCAACTTTACAGATACCAGGGAACCATCTGCACAGGGAACAAAGATATGGGTAAAATGTAAATAACAATTTTAAATTTGATTTTGAATTTGATTCATGCCAGATCCAGAGAACATTTTCGCCTATGTATTACCTGTCTCAAAACCACTGAAGTCCACGACACTAAGGCGCCAAAGCCAAGTAGCTGGAGAGGCAGCGTACTTTGACATACACTTATGACAGCTAATAACCAGGAGTTCAACTGAAGTCAGTTCTCAGATAGATGATATTAAAATAAAAAAATGGAACTGGCTATCACGTTCCAAAAAGTTTTAAGTGCATGCTTGTTCACTGAAGTTTTTCTCTCATTAAATTGAAATGGGCTGGAAACAGAGGAGTTTGGATCCTCACAGTATTTGATGCAATTCAGCTACAGTCAGCATTTCACTATTTGTTCTCAAGCCCTTCTTGAGTAAACTGCCAGAACTGGGAATGTATGCTTTTTCTTCCCCATGGAATCTGACTCAGGAGTGTCACCCCAACATATTCACATTGCTTTTATTTAGGTCTTCTGCCAACAGTTACAGGGTAACAGACACTTCGGACTGCAAAGTCAAAGTTGCAAGCAAAAATCAGGACCAAGGCAAAGAAAAAAATAATCCACAAAGCCAATCAAATCAAATATAAATACAATGTTCTGGAGCTCTTTAATCATACCATTTTCTTTAATAAAGAGGTGGTTATGCTCTTACAGTATTTTCTTTTGGCCTAATCCAAGGATTTTGTTACTCTTTACCAGTCTTAATTCCACGCATACAAAAAAATTGATATTCAACCTTTAAAATATAAGCCATATTTTCTTAATAAAATAAGTTTTGTGCTGCTGCTTGTTTAGTAAGTACTGTACATCAACTGTTCACGTCTATTTAACAAATGGACCATACAGAGTTCAAGCTAAAGCAAAAAAAAAAAAAAAACACAAGAAAAATAACAACCCAAACAGAGTGTCTTGTAAACACTCTATGTACAGTTCAACACTTGCTTGTATAAAGGAGGTACGAAAGGGGCTAGAAATCGAACACAAAAGCACTGGAATCCCCATCAGTTTTCTTTCACAACTATTGAAGTGCAAATCACTCAGGCAAGATATGAATTTCACTTGTTTATTGCTGTCCTGCAGTCTGGCTTCCCTTCCTGAAAGAATCACATTCTTTTATTTCACGCTAATTTTCCAAGAAGAAAACCTTCCATGAGGCAACGCTGAATGCTTGGGCTTTTCGATCCTAGACATCAGGTCATACGCTTGCAAATACCAGAACACTCCGACTGCCTTCCCACTAAGCTCTCCTGAGGGCTGTTCTGCCCTCATGCACCCTGTTATGTTCAGATATGAGATAAGGGAAACAAACAGCATTCAACAATTGACAGATAAATGAAAGTTATTCCTCTTCCCACAAATCTGCATGCACTCGGCAGTTTTTCCAGTTGCACAACGGACACGTGCGCATTTAGAAGGTAGAGACTTGGGAGCCATTCAGGATGACTGTGTGGGGTTTGTGGCTAATTACAAATCGTGATATGTATACAGGTTAACACCTATCTGCTATGGGTAGCAAAACGCACAGCACCTCAACATGCAATTACTCATTTGCATCTTGGACAAGAAAAGGGTAGAAATACTGAATGCTGGAGCCGTGTGGAAGGTACAGTGCATAGTCCATTATACAAAACATGCGGGTAACTCGAACCCTTTCTAAAACCTCTTCAAAATGGAAATATGGTTTAAAGGGCACAGCAGCTGAGTTTGGCTTATTTATTTCTTTAAAACCATGAAAAACCCAATGCAGAGGGTGAAGTAAGGGCAGAACACGATCTGCAAGTCAACAGCTGAGAGTTTCAGAAGCCATGAAGCTTTTGTGTAGTTAAAATTGCTGTTAAAAGTAGGTGCTACATCAGCAAGTCTTCATTCATAGTTTTCTATGAACAGCCACCTTACAAATGAGTGCAAATCTTAAAGGTCCATTTTACATTTCAAGTCTCAAGGTTAAAAAAAAAATTGTTACAGAGCAACAAGCTGTTTCTGTAAATGCCCACGCTATCTCTTTTCAAATGGCTAAAAATGGCATGTGCTATGCCACAGCTACTAAAAGACATTTCAGAATTCTAGACCCAACTAAAACGTTAAAATAAAAAGTAGAAATCAAAATACCTTTGCCCTTAGCTGCCAAAGAGCAGCAAGGTGCTTTCGGTCATAATGCTGGTGAACAAACTGATTTGCAGAGAGAACCTTGACCATAACCCCCCAGTTTTATTCTCAGTGAGGGGCTTCCTAATACAAGGTGGGTGGGTATAGCCCCTCTGAGATCATTTCGCTTTCAATGAACACAAGCCAGAGTTCTGAGGATGAAATGGGAGAGGTGCTGAATTTGTGTCACTATGCAGGCACTTGTGTATAGGAATGTAGGCGTCTCATGTTGACACTTAGTGTTCACGCATTCCCTACTCTCTAAAAGCCCCCTTAAGAGCTCACTACCCTACTGACCATGAATGGTTCTTGGCTTTCTCCCCATCACCTTGTAGGTATACAGCAGTGGAGTTTGACACAAGGTGCAAAGGAGAACATGAGCCAAATACTGTAGTCTTGAGAAAAATACAACTGTGCTAAATGTAGGATCTTCACAAAACGTGACATCAGTGGGCTCAGCACTTAGTTTGCATAGCATATTGATGTCTTCATTTTTCACAAACGTGTTGCCCCAAAAGAAAACCAGTACACTGAATTCTTGGTATTAGGACAGAGCAATGGGTCAACATGACTAATGCTTTTATGAACTACTAGCAAGGCAAGTTTAAACATCAGAAAGGACAAAATAAAAAGGCGTGCTTTATCAATGCATGCTGACAAAGGGCAGTGCTTGTGATAGGCTTTGAAAATGCGTTCACTTTTGGCAGTAAATTGATAACAGAGCTCTTCCCCTTAAGAGCTCAGTAGCAGTGTACACGTAACTCTTTCTCTCGAAGGAAGCTTTGTGCACATTTTCATATCAACAAAAATCAGATAATCTGCCCACACGCTATTGGTAAGGAGTTGCTACTACTGCCCTGCTGTGCAGAATGGTCATTCTGTACAGCAAAATGAGTCCAAAAAACAGTCACTGTTTTACTGTTGGAAAAAAAAGGCTTTTTCCCCATTACAAACAAAAATTAGTAGGAGTTTCTCCCAGGACAATAACAAGTATTTCGTAAGTCTGACTAAGGAATAATCTGGTGTGCTTTCAGAATAAAAACCCTGTGCATGAAATCAGTGATACCATGACACAAAAGAGCAGCAAAACCTAGCAGCAGAATCTATGACAGTTTGGACATGCTGAAGTCGGGGTACGTGGTAGTTCAGAAAGCGGTCAGCCCATACGGACACGTGAGGAACGCACATGACGCATGGGAGACGAGGGCATTGAGGAATACCCCAAAGCTGCGTGGACTGCAGTTTGTAACGCACGCATCGGACAGGAAACGTTAGAGATCTCTGGCGGGAGCGCACAGCCTCAGGAAGTGCAGTGATGTAAACTCTGAGAATGTTAATGACTTGTGTATTTTGGCAACAGACTCAGTATCATATAAAAATAATGTTTAGTAAAAAAATCCCGGTGTCCATCATAGAAAGTCAGAAAAAAAATAATCGATAGCAATTTCTGTCCTCATGGGGTGAAGATGGCCCCATTTGTCAGAAACAGTTTTAAATAACAAGTAGTACATTGGAAACAAAAATGGGTCAGCAGCCATTAAACTTGTCCTATATGAAAGTGCACATCTTTCAATGGAGTTCAACCACCGTGAGGTTGTGATCTAACACAAACTGCAACTTAGGACCATAAAAATTAACTCCTTCCGATGGAAATATGGACCACCATCAAGACAAGGTTACTATTTTCCTTACAAGATTAAAAACATTGAAATTTTGCAGCATCATAGTAAGGCACTCACCCATGGAAAAGTCTGTGACTGTTGCTTCGAATGGCAGCAGCTAACTAGCTTTTAACACAAGGAAGACAGTTTTCAGTTCTGAGCTAAGTGCTAGGGTGCCTTACATTATATGGGGGGGAATTATTTGGGGGGGAACTGTTAGTGTTAGAATTCTCCTATAAACTAGTTGTTTTTCCCCTTAACCCATTAAAGCATCTCATATTCTAAAATATTAGTTTTATAAATCTAGTCTTCTGTTTTAAGGCTCTAAAAATCCCCTCCCCCCAACCCCACAAAAAATACCTACCAGCGCCTGGTGGGCAACGGAGGACCAAATCCGCCATTTCACAGTCAGGAGTCTATAGTATTGCATCTTAAAAATGAAAACCTGCTTCTGCCTCCTGGAAGTTTTATCCCTTCCTTAAATGCCTTCACGTGTTTGGTCAGGTCAAAATTTTGCAAAGCCAGAAAAATTAAAAAAATAATCAGTCTCTTCCAATCCTACAAAGGTGTTGGATCTTTCTGTCCCGTGGTGCTGGTCTCCTGCCTCAAATCGACGCTGCCTGCCCTGCAGTGATTTCTCATTGGAAAAAAAACAAGGTGTCCCAATGCTTCCTTTTTTGTATGGCTCCTACAAATCTGAAAGCTTTCTTGAGTGAGGTAACAAAAGTTAGGCTTTCAAGCAAAGTACATGGTACGTAAAGTGTCCTGATGAACCTGCACAGCCTTCGCCAAGGCTTGGGGGTCTCTGCCGTTGCTCTGTCCAGATATATGGCTGCCCTCGCCGCTGAAAGCGCAAGAAAATCACTGCGTAATTATTTAAGGCTTTCCCCGTAGGAACGTTGGGAAATCCCCGCGCAGGTCAGGGACCAGGATGCTGGATGCCATCTGCACCTCTGCCTTGCACCAAGGTCAAGGCGAGCCCCCACAGTCACCTCACGGCAGCTCCCGACCAACGGACCCAGCCCACCAGCCGCCGTGGGGGATGCGAGACCCCACCGCTGTGGCGCTCTCTTCCTGGCTTATTGACGCCGCTGGGGAGAAGGATGGCGGCACGCGGCTGTCCCCGAGCACCAGCATGCTAGGTGCGCTGGGAACCGTGCCCAGCATGGCAGAGATGCCGGCATCCCGAGGAGGCTAGCAACGCTCAAACACCCCGAGGTGGTCACTGCAGGGCCTGGGCGAGCCCAGGACGGGGTATTAGCCCCCTTTATCCCCGCTCCTGCCGGGCTGAGCCCTACGAGGACATGGCTACGCGCGAGTCTCCCCAGGAACGGCTCTGCAGCAAAGCTGCTCCCATCCAGCCGCGTTCAGACACAGAAGCAGGGTGCCGCTCACTGGCTGGTCACCCCTGCGGTCCCTGCTC